GAGTCGATTTATGCATGTCAGTCCGTCCGTCTGTCCATGTATTTTTGTGGACAAAATGAGGTTCGATTTTTTATCCATTTGAGATGATATTTTCCAAACAATATTTGTTTGGTCCAATGACGAATCCTATAGAAATTGGTGGGAATCGAACTTCAACCGATTTCGGGTTAATTGTTCGCCAAATGGCCAATATCAGTCCAAATGTCCTGAATTTTGGCACATCCGACCGAATTCAGTGTAGAAGCAAGTACATCAAATACAAGGTATAGTTATAGCTCCCATATATATATAAATGTTTCATCCGATTTGGGGTTTTAAGTCCTTCACATGCGTAATAAGTACTCCACAACAACGATATTTGATACCTGACATCAGATACTGCTCGAAAATACCTCTGCCAAATTTTATCGAGATCCATTCAGATTTTTATATAGCTTCGGTATACGTTTTCTTCCGACTTTACGGTTATTGCTCACCATATATGTAGTATGTGCCCATCTTTTGCATCTTCAACCGAATTTTACCAATTGGTGAAACTCGGTCTGGCATATGTATTGCTCCAATATTTTTTTTCTGATATAATCCTTATCGAAGTCATATCACTCCCATAAATTCCCAATATAAACTTTATTGTTACGTGAGCTCTAGTAAATACGCATAGTGGTGTAGGATATCATATAGTCGGCCTTGTCCGACTTTTGACCTTTTCTTACCGGTTTCTTTTCATATATATATATATATATATATATTTTTTTTTTTTTTTTTTTGCACAGGAAATCGACATACTCGGAATTATGTTTTTCCATTCACTACGTGTTAATTTGCATCGTTCGTAGGAGATTTACTCGGAAACATAATACAGCACAACAGCACAACAATAGAGGTCCACGTTTTCGCATAGTCCTATATTACTGTAAAACCTTATATTCGATATTTTTCTTAATTATATAGGCATACTTTTAATTTAGCAAATTCCGACCTTGCCGAACTTTGCGGCTTTTTACTTGTCTTTTCATTTACATTTGTAAAATGTTAATTTTTTACTTAAAAATGTACAAATAATTATTGAATGAATGTAGAGGTTAATTTCTACAGCATTTATGGTTTTGAAAATGGAACATATGGGTCCATGCTTTGATGTATCTCCCGTATAACGGTCCCGACGGATTTATGGATTTTGAAGAACATTATTGACTGAAATTTTGTGTGTTTCATTTTTAACTGACATGAATTATTTTTGTAAAAAGTAAATGTTGTCAACGAGAATGAAATACTAAATTAAGACGGAAAATTTAGCCAAAATCGTTAAATTATAAATAACTACGTTGAAAAATGTTGCCAAAACTTTCGAAATACCTGGAATCGAGATTTACTGTATTGTCAATTCGTCAAAAAGTATATTTAATTTTTTGAAAAATATGCCTTAACATTTCAATTATTTAATAATATTTCAAATTACTTAAGAATTATATCAAAAATATTAACTATATAACAAAAAACATTAAGTTTGGCCGGGCCGAACTCTTAGTACCCTCCACCTTAAGGTAAAGGAAACATTTTTAAATAAAAGTATCTGAATTCAAGCGTGTTTTAAACTTCATATACCAGTGAGACCTTTTGCATAATACAGTTTAACTTATCAAAAAACCCATAAAGTGAGTGAGGCCGTTATATAGGACCATACCAAAACGGGAACATCTATAGCCAATAAATAAATCTACTAAAATACCAAATTGGAAACAATTATGTGGGTAAATTTGACTAGGATTATCAAAATACCGAATATCGGTGGGTATCGTTATATACTATAGGAAAACGTGGAACTAAATATTCAATGTTCTGCCATCAGGCTAGAACCTATTATGAACTAAAAATACCAACTTTTAACAAAATATCGAATATCATTATATGGGGGCTATACCAAAACGTGGACCTACACATACAATGTTTCGCAACAGTAGCTACAACCCATTACGAACTACAAATACCAATTTCTGAACAAATCCGTTAAAAAATTTGCAAAAATCTTAAAAACGTCGAATATCGGGAGGTACCGTTATATGGAGGTTATACTACGAACTAGAGCCTATTATGACTTACAAATACGTTTTTTAGACAAATTCATGGGAAAATGTGGAAAAATTATCACAATACCGAATATCGGGAGGAACTGTTATACGGGGCTATACGAAAACGTGAACCTATACATACAATGTTTCGCCACCGGAGCTAGAACCCATCAAGGCCAACAAATTAAAATTTTTAGACAATTCCGTGAAAAAAAAATTGGCAAAAATCATCAAAATACCGAATATTGGGAGGTACCGTTATATGGGGCCATACCAAAACGTAGACCTATGCATACAGTGTTTCCCCTTATAAGCTTGAACGCACTGTAACCTACAAATAACGAGTTTTAGACAAATCCCTGAAAAAAAAAATGTGCAAAAATCATAACAAAACCGAATATCTAGAGGTACCGTTATATGGGGGCAAAACGTGAACCTATACATATAATGTTTCGGCACACTAGGTAGAACCCATTGTGACCTACAAATACCAATTTTTAGACAAATCCGTGGAAAATGTGGAAAAAATCAATAAAATACCGAGTAGCGAAAGGCTATGTCAAAACGAGGATCGATCGAGGATCTGATTTTTAATACCAACCATCCTAGGCACAGTACAAATTGTTCTGCTAAATGTTGATGCTCCACGTCAAATAATGTATCGTGATTTCAACAGACAGACGGACATCGTTTAATCGACTTAGAATTGTATGCTGATCATTTATATATATACTTTATGGGATCTGCGATGAATATTTAGGGATGTTACAAACGGAATGATACGGTTAATATACCCTCCTTTGCAAGGTGGAGGGTATAAAAAAAGTAGAAAAGCTCCAAAAAATATGTACTTTCGCATCCTATGTTTAGAAATAATATTTAGAGATAATACAAAAAACATTTGGATCCCAATCAAAAGTCATATCACCCTCTCAACTGAGTAGGGTACAGAATTTGTGACTGAACTTGTGTCTTAAATTTTCGATATGATTTCTTCTTTATATGCTTTGTTAAATAAAAAATAAGAATTGGCATTTTCAAAAAACAACTATTTGTTCTTTATGAGAACCATAATAAACATATAAATTAAATACAACAATAAAAAGCAATATTTTTAAAATGTAACAAAGCAAATAGAATATATGTGTGGCAACTACAGCCAGAGGCTGTATGAGGACTGTGTGCTAAATTTGGGGGAAAGCGACACTTCCCACTTAAATATCCACTGATAACAAAAAAAACCAGTAAGGAAAGCTCAAAAGTCGGGCGGGGCCGACTATATGATACCCTACACCACTATGCATATTTAGTAGAGCTCTCGTAAAAAGGTTTATACAGGGCATTTCAGAGCTCTATGAGATATTTGGTACAAAATCAAAATCTATCTAATTCTATCGTGCATTTTACGAACTATAGCTATCTCTGAACCGGGTTTCTCCAAATTTTACGTATTCTTCTTCTTCTTCTAGACTGGTGATTTGGGCTGATATTGACCATTTAGTGCACATTTAACCTGAAATCGGATGAAGATATATATGAGAGCTATATCCAAATCTGAACCGATTTCGATAAAATTTAAAACAGCTATTCCTGTGCTCCATCTAATACCTGGTACCAAATATCATGGTTGTGGAGTGAATATTACGAATGTGTGGGACTAAAACTCTAAATCGGATGAAACATGTATATGGTTGCTATATCTATATCTGAACCGATTTTCACTAAATTTGATATACTTGCTTCTAGGCTGAATTTGGTCCGATGTACTAAAATTCAGTCCATTTGGACTTATATCGGCCATTTGGTGCACAATTAACCCGAAATCGGATGAAGATATATATGGGAGCTATATCCAAATCTGAACCGATTTCGATAAAATTACAAACAGCTATTTCTGGGCTGTATCTTATATCTGGTACCAAATATCATTCTTGTGGAGTGCATATTACGAATGTGAGAGGCTTAAACACCAAATCGGATGAAAGATATATATGGGAGCTATAGCTATATCTGAACCGATTTTCTCCAAATTTGATATATTTGCTTCTAGGCCGAACTCGGTTGGGTGTGCCAAAATTCAGGTAATTTGGACTGATAGTGGACATTTGGTGCACATTTAACCCGAAATCGGATGAATATATATATGGGAGCTATAGCTGTTTCTGAACCGATTTTCTCCAAATTTGTTGTATTTGCTTTAAGGCTAATCTCGGTTACATGTGCCAAAGTTCGGGCCATTTGGGCTGATATTGGCCATTTGGTGGTCAATTAACCCGAAATCGGATGAAGATATATATGGGAGCTATATCCAAATCTGAACCGATTTCGATAAAATTTAAAACAGCTATTTCTGTGCTCCATCTAATACCTGGTACCAAATATCACGGTTGTGAAGTGCATAGTAGGAATGTGAGGGACTTAAAGATCAAATCGGATGAAAGATATATATATAGGAGCTATAGCTATATCTGAACCGATTTTCTCCAAATTTGATATACTTGCTTCTAGGCCGAACTCGGTTGGGTGTGCCAAAATTCGGATAATTTGGACTGATAGTGGATATTTGGTGCACATTTAACCCGAAATCGGATGAAGATATATATGGGAGCTATATCTAAATTTGATCCGATTCTCACAAATTTCAATAGGGTTCGTCCCTGGGCCAAAAAAATATTGTTTAGAAAATTTCATCTCAATCGGATAATAAATGCGACCTTCATTTTGTTCACAAGAATACATGGACGGACGGACGGACAGACGGACTGACATGCATAAATCGACTCAGAAAGTGATTCTATGAAGGTTCTCAAAAGTAACTATGGGTCTATCTCGTTTCCTTCTCCATGTTACAAACAAATGCACAAAGACATAATACCCTTACCACTATGTGGTGTAGGGTATAAAAAGGAAAACGATGGTTCCTCTTGATTACATTGACTCCTCAGGCAATGGGGCATATTTACAGATAACAAACATGACATGCACACGCACACATTTATTTAATGGCTAACAATTGTAGAATGTGACAAAGGACATGATTTCTTTTTTAATTTTCCCATCACCTCAAGTGGGGTGTTCTTCCGTAACAGAACGTAACGTGCTATAACACATCACCTACAACAGACTTCAGTGTGACAATAAAATCCCATTGAAAAAGAAATGAATTCTTGTCTCTTCTTTAAGGAAATCTGGCCAAACAATCTAAAGAAGAATAAATTTTCAATATTTCCTTCTTTTTGGAAACAGATAAAACGAGAAAATGAAAAATAAAATACTTTGCAAGAAATATTCCACGAAAAGCTAAAGGAGAAACAAAATTTAAAAAAAAAAAACCAACGAACGTAAAAGAAAACACCAGCTACGAACAGTGCAGTGAAGAGTAAATTTAAAAAAAAAGAAAAGAAACAAAATCATATCAACTATTATCAAAACACCGAAGAAGCTGTGAACAAAAAATGTTTTGGATTTTACGACGCACTGGGGCGGCGAACTTTTTCAATTCGCTCAACAACAACTGCAGCACATCCAAAGGTCCTGGAGGCAGTCAAACAACGATGGGTAAGTTAAAGAAAATATTGTTGTGCCGAAGAAACTCAAGGAAAGGCAACAGAAAAAGAAGAGAGAAAAAAAAGACAAAGGAAAGCCACTTCCCGGATTCTTTGAATCATGAATACATGACCTTAACTTATGATACTTGTTTTATTAAATTGCAACAGGAACTACAACAGCCACAACAAACCGAAAAAAATATTTAAACGAAGGGCATATTTTAGACATAATTTCAAGGTGTTAAGTGTAGTAAGAGATGTCTGCTTGCATATGGAAGAGTATTGAAGTTAAATAAATATCGAACGGGCAGGCTATTCAGTCAAAAGAGCTTCAGATATACAGAAATATTAAATTAATTGTATTGTTGTAGGGTATCAAATGATCGGCCTCGCCGAATATAGGAATATACAGGGTTGCCCATATTCGACGGACCTTTGAGCCCTTTGGGTCCATTCCAATCGACGAGGCTTGTCCGCAGGCAACATTCTTTGCGTCAATTGAATTTTGCACGGGAACAAATGCAAATCAATGCGAATAATCCGTAGTAAAGTGGACTGAGCCATGCCCAACTGCTGAGAACGGCGTTTTTGACATGTTCCTTGGGGACTCAACACTGGCTCGTACGGCAGCAATATTCTCGGCCGATCGCCTTGGTCGACTTTTATATGGCCTCTTTTGATTAGAAAGAGCCTTACCAGTCGAAAATTTTTCGCATAAACGCTTAATGGTGTTCTTAGAAGGCGCACTTCTCACATTTTTTAATGTTTTAAAAGCACGTTGATTTTTTACAATTGACTTCTCGTAAATTTCTACTATTTCAGAGCGCTCGCGTGGCGTGTATTGGTTCATGGTAAAAATCTGCTTGGACTGGCGCTTCAAACTCGGTATGTCATTAAGCGATGTGACATCTCTGTCAAAAGTTATGGCGTTGCCAGATGGGTCCGTTGAATATGGGCAACCCTGTATACTTTTTTCAAGGACCTACAAATGAGAATTTTTACGTCCATCATAGAATTGACCCTCCAATTTCGTTTGTAACACTTCGAAATATCCGTTATATTTTTAGTAGGTTTGTCTGTGTTCTTCTGTCTGTTGAAATAAAGATAGAGATCACATTATTTAAGAGTTCTGAAACTTGGCGCAAAAGTTTACACTATATGCAGGCTGATCGGTATTGAAAATAGGCTATAATGGTCCAAAAATGATGCCTCCAGATTTTCGATATTTTGAAGATTTCTGCCACAATTTCAAATCAAATTAGATGATAATATGGGTTTCGCAAAATGTCGGAAGCCCCCCCAAATCAATTTGGAAGATTTAGTTTTTGAAATAACGTCATTGAATTGTGCCCTTAGCTTTTTGACCGGGGGCATTTGCCCAATATTTACGCACACCGTCGTGTTGTCTGATATTCAAAATAATTACACGAAATTTGTGGTTCATTTTACAGCTAAACAAAATCCAAAGGACGTCAAAAATGCTAGACTTCTTCCGTGTCCTTAACTCTCTTCTCATACAAAATTGCACGTCGATTGGTTTTCAGTTGTGACCTGTAGAACGACTAAAAAATGAGGAGAATTTTGATTTTTTGGTCTAATTGAACCCCTAAAAGTACATCTTCAAAAACCCTACCCCATGCAAAATTTCGTGTGGATCGAACGATAATTGCGTCCTGTAAATAATACCCCAAAAACATAGTGTTGCGGGGTGTAGAACAATTTTACAAAATCTACAATTCAAAATTGTAAGTCACATAAGTCGGATGCGATACAAAATGTGACAAAAATGTATCAAAAAATATTCACTTTTTTATTGTCACATTTTTATGTGATTTTCATAGATTTTATATTTTTTGGCAAAAGGATATTCGGTATTGTTGAGAATTGTTAAAATCAGTCCAGCGGTTCTTGACTTATAAGAAGAATAAATAAGATCTATGTCTTTTGGTGATTTAAGCGACTTATTCACCGGATATATTTCAAATTTGGTATTTGAAGTTCATAATGGATAGTCCAGCCTAAGACAGAAAATAATCTGTACAGGTAAAAGCCCCATACAACGGTACTTCCCGATATTCTGTACTTAGATGATTTTAACGACATTATTCACAGATTTTTTTCAAGTTTCTCATTTGAATATTGGCTTATGACAAAAGTTGCATATGCAGGTCCACATTCGGTATTTTTAAGATTATAACAGATTTTTTTTTTAAATTACCAAATTTGTTTCAGGATATTTAAAGATCGGTAATAATAAAGATTTATTATTTTCACCATATTTGAAGTTTCTATTTTTGAAGAAAATTTTGTAAGGATTATAGTTCTGTGAATTTTTAAAGTATTATTTTTTTAAGATATTTTATATATTTTTTTCAAAATCACAAAATGTGGATGTGGGTCTACTTTCATTATTGTACTGCATTCTAACCTTTTAAGTGAAGCCAAATAAATAAATACTTATATAATATTTTAATAATTAAAAAATAGTACATGTTCACAGCATGAGTTGTCGCCGATGCTTCTTTTTTTACCAATTTTCCACATTGCGATTGTAACAGCTCTTCAGCGAAATATTTCACTTTCCATAATTATGTACGGCTTAAGTTCACTACATTATATTTCCTCAACTATTTATAATATGTTTTGGGAAACGGAACAACGGCAAAAAATAAACACTGATGATGTAGCAAAAATACTACTACATGTGTAAGTGTATGTGTGTGTAGGGAAAACAAGAGTTTACATCGTATAAACCCGCAGCTTTATTTTTAGCTCTCGCCATATACGCATATTTTCCATAACTGTCGTCGCAGTATCCACGACAAAAATTAATATATAAGTTGAAATGTGCATTTAATATTCATCGAACACATTATACGCTTAAGCTGGCTGGTACTTCGAAAGCAAACAAGGGTAAAATTGATGAAAATACAAAAAAGAAGGAACAAGATATGGGAAATCGAATAAATAGCAACAGCATTTGGTAAAGGAATGGAAATTTGATGTAGTGAAATATTGGCAAAAATTGGTGGAAAATAAGACTATATGTCACCAGTATGCATATATATATATATATATATATATATATATATATATATATATATATATATATATATATATATATATATATATATATATATATATGGAGGTGTTATTTCTTAACTTGGTTGTAGGCTGATTTCGGTGGAATATTAAAAAAAATATTCTATTTTGGTTTTACGCATTACTGAAATAACTGTTTATTAATAACTGTGTTATTTATCACAATTTTACAATTAATGCGACCGGTTCTGTACACATGAAGGGAGTGTGCGAGCCTGATTTCCATCAAACTCCAAATATCCCACCAGTATGGACAATATTGGGTCGCTTCTTCGAAACCTCCGCTACAGTATGCCAATTTTTAGAATAATAAGCAGTAGCTAAGAAAAAGTCAGGCGGGTCCGACAATGTGATATTCTACAACGCTATACATATCTAGTAGAGCTACCTGAAGCAAATTAATATACATATAATAGAAATTAAGTTTAAACTGTGATCATAGATTGTTTTGTAGAGGTTTAAATTTGAAATCGAAGGAAACCATATTGTGGAAGCTTAATCTTACTTCTAGTCGGTTTCCACTGAACTTGACTGAGGTATTGTTATGTTGTATGTGACACATCTGGCAACGCCATAAGTTTTGACAGAGATGTCACATCGCTTAATGACATACCGCGTTTGAAGCGTCAGTCCAAGCAGATTTTTACCATGAACCAATACACGCCACGCGAACGCTCTGAAATAGTTGAAATTTACATTCAACAGAAGAAGTCAATTGTGAAAACTCAACGTGCTTTTAAAACATTAAAAAATGTGAGAAGTGCGCCTTCTAAGAACACCATTAAGCGTTTATACGAAAAATTTTCGAGTGGTAAGACTCTTTCTAATCCGAAGAGGCCATATAAAAGTCGACCAAGGCGATCGGCCGAGAGTATCGCTGCCGTACGACAAAGTGTTGAGAGGTCCCCAAGAACATCCCAAAAACGCCGTTCTCAGCAGTTGGGTATGGCTCGGTCCACTTTACAATGGATTATTCGCATTGATTTGCATTTGAGAATATGTTTAGATTTCTTAGAATTGGTCACCTTTGGCACGAATTATGACTCCAAACAGCCAATGAAACCGTCACACTCTGCCCGAATGCTGCTCTGCGGTATTTTGGTCCATTTCTGCGAAGCGCTTGCTTGAGGTATTCGACTTGAGAAAACCAAATTCGGCAGTTCACCTCTTTCGGCAAAGCGAAACAATTTTATATTTTCTTTCTTTTGCGGTGCAAGTTCTTACTTTTTGGAATTTCAATTGCTTTACCCCACGAATTATGGCCTTACAAGCTGCCCGAATGTTGCTCTGCGGTATTTTGGCGAAGGTATTCCCGGCGAAGCTCTTGCTTGAGGTGATCGACGCAATAGTCCAACGGTATCCGGTAACCGGTGATCTTGGTGGCCATTGTGCACTGGAAATGAAGCGAGGAACCACATTTTGTAACCATTCTTGGATGGCGCGTGCTGCGTGCGATGGTGCTGAGTCCTGTTGGAATGTCCAAGGTCTGCGGACAAAATTTTTGCGTGCCCTAGGCTTTAATACCCCCCAGAATATTTTCGCGATAATATTCGGTATTTATTCTAATGTCACGGTCGATTAATATGAGCGGAGAGCAACCATCGGTTGTTATGGCGGCCCACACTATCACCATGGTCGGCGCTTGAGTTCTGGTGGCCAACCGAAGGCGCACATTTTCAGCTGAACTCTTTGGCAAGTAAACACGATCATTTTGTTTGTTTACAATCTGCTGGACAACGAATGTTTTCTCATCGGAGAAAACAAAATTCGGCAGTTTACCACTTTCGGCCAAGCGAAGCAATACTTTAGCTCTTTTGAGTCTATTTTCTTTCTGTTGCAGTGTAAGTTCTTGCACTGTTTGGAATTTCAATGGCTTTACCCCGAGCTCATTTTTCAATGTTTGCCGAA